TAAGCATGTAGGTATCGGCCGTGGTTACAGCTGCTCATCAAGCTAGATCGATGGCCATCACTGGTACAACTCTGACCTCACTGTTTTACCTCCTTTTCTTTCAGGTATCGTGTATTTACGACCTTCGCCTAGTAGACAGGACGAGGCGTCACACAATCGCAGTGCGCGGCTGACTATTCCTTTTTTCGGAGGCTGTGCTCCGATGCACCCTTCTCTACAGCATTCCCGACCTTCCAGTCTTTGTTTATGATCTATCCGACTATATTTAAGATGTAATCCCTCAGTTCCACTCACTCAGAGAAATCTCTTATTTTCACGATACTTGTCTTGTTGCACTAGCAGAAGAGGGGCTGCGAGCACCGTTAAACAGGACTTCGTGCAACTTTAACTGTGGTAGCTAGATCCTCCGTCCAATGAAGAGAAGCTTATAGTAACTAGCGCGAAAACTAGATGGCAGTAAACAAGACTAGCGTCACACGTCTGCGCGTACCCTTAACACGGACAGTCACACTGCACCGGTGACGAGCACGCTTGTTGCATCCAGTCAGGACGGGATGTGACTGCTGGTCGCAACACGGCGTCTTCGGTTCCCTCTTCATGTTACTTCATACTTTGTGAGTAGTATTCGCCCACATCCGGCACCAGGCATTTGAGCGGGTTGGACAATGGGCTGGTGCACGGAGAGAGGGTTCAGCGCATAGTGAACCAAGTCGTGTGTGTGGCACGCGCAGACGGGCTATCTTAACCTTGTTAATCACTGCGGCCAATCTCAGCATCAGTTGACTGACCGGCCCGGACAGTCGACTGATGCATGGAAGAGGGATGAAAGAGAGAGAGAGCGACGGAGGCCTGCGTCTCAGCGCACAACCTTCACTTCAAACTGTTTGACGCGCTTGAAACTACTGCGGCGCGCTAGAAGCCGCGACCTGAATGATCGTCAACTGCCGGGGGTCACCCGCGCCTGATTCCGCTTTCGGTCTTCTCGACTCTGTTCTGATACTGACGGGATTACTCGGACCCCGAGGTCAGTCCATTGTGCTTGTGAAATGGCTGAGCGGTGGACTGAGAGTCAGGCTGCGATGGATCGTTTGGTAATGTATTCTTTTTGGCGCTTCAGCCCAGTGCGATCCGGGCCCCCATTTTTTTGATGTACAAAACCCTGACCAGTGTACGTGGCGGACCGAAGGGTGTGGTGGTACGCCTAAATGCGGGTTTTCGCCGTGTCAGCCACCTGTGTCCTCTCTTGCATCCGGTCTTATTGACTCGGTCTTAGTACTAGGACCAGGTGAAGGAGGTGAGAGTGCATTAGATGCTGTGAAAGTCAACTATTACTCCACAGGTAAGTCACCGTCTCTGGCCATGCCGTAGAGTACCCGGTAGACATCGTCGGCAACAACGTTTGATCTGTGGATTAACATTAGTAAACCAGATGATGGTAGGCTCCATGTGTCGCCACGCAGCCTCCTGATTGTTAGCTTTTGGAAAACCGACTTATTCTCCTCCATTAGGCACTGGGTTTGCTAGAAGCGGCTTCTATAACACTGGGTGCCGCCAGTGGCATCCTCCTGTACTTCTTCGGCGAAATCTCTCCAGATACCTGTAGTATTCTAAGTTCAGTTTAGACATGTATACTACTGAGGTAGTTTTGTGTTTCCTGTGCCATATCTAGGCAGATATCCGCAAAGGTGCATCGATACCTCGATTTTCAATCACAAAGATATGAATAGCATTTCCTCAAAGCCCGTGACACAGATCACCGCGGTTTATTTAATCTGTCGAGTAGCATTAATAAACCGGACGATGATATGCCGCATGCGCATCCATGCAGCGAAATTTGCTCTTCAAGCACCGGGTTTGCAAGAAACAATCTGACGCGCTAAAAGCCATGACTTGGAAGACTGTCCACTGACGGAAGCCATCTGCACCTGATCCCGCTTCCAGTCTACTCGACCATGTTCTAATACCATGCCCAAATGTGGCAGGCGTGAGGTGGCCAACTGGTGCGGCCATAAGAGTATCACGATCATAAATCCGATCCTGGACACCTCGATCGGGGCTCAAGTAACATGGCAGAGTTCCTAGCGCGCACCGGTCCTGCTGACTAGAAACTCTCCATCCTACCCAGTTAGCCGTAGGTCACGTTAGCACGAAATTGACTGGACAGACTGCACCACAAGTGGGCAAAACGCAGACAACGAAGGTAGTGGAGGCGAAGGAAACCCTAGAGCGCGTAACATGGAAGCGGCGCTTCGCCGGCCCGACGCTCTCACTCCGCCTGTCTTGGAGTTCCAATCTACTCGTAGGCGGTCACGACAATAATCAATCCACAGGAGTCAGACCACGAGTCCTGGGGTTGTAATATCTGCCTGACGATAGCTAGAGATGACGACACCGGTCCCCACTGGCGTTGATAACGTTCTCTGTCCACTTTGGTGTACCGTCATCTCGAATAACGAGCATTTTACCTGTAAACCCCAGCGGAACTATCATTAGCGACCTCACAATGCTCTAGGGCTACGGGCAGTGGAGAACGCGTAATGCCTTGACACTTATGTTGCCCCAGATATGTTTTCCCCCCGAAAGACCATTCAAACAGTGCGAGCGCAGTCGCAAAAACGAGACCTTTGGTGTGTTGCACCTCCATCTCAGGGGAAGGATAACAAGGATGTAGTCGCCCAACCCGCAGGGTTTGTGTAGGCCTTCAAGGTCGGCTATGAAATCGTCGCGACACCTCAACGGCCACGAAGCTCGGGGCGTGACGAGCAGTCCTCTACGTGTTTGAATGCTGGGCTGTGTAGGTGGATGATAAACTAGAGCTGGAGTTTTTCGGCCGTACTCCGGGAGCGGTGGTTTAATATCCTCTCGAATGCAACAGTCCTAATTAACTGCGACACTGCCGAGATATTTCAACCCGTTCAGAATAAGCAGATGCAGTAGTTCCGAAAGCCCTAAACCCGATACCGTTCAGTTCAAAACTTGGTTCGGAAAAATCCGTTAAGACAGAGATGGTTTTTGCGTCCTCGGCATTCGATTCTGGTGGTTGGAGAAGGGGATGCCTAGGATGTTCCCCACTCGCTAGTTGACGCACATGGACACCTACTACCGAAGATATCATTGAGGCTGGTTATCTCAAAGCCGTATGAAGTGCAATTAAGCAAACATAATGAAACCAGGTTAAGCAGGTCTCCGGACAGAAGTATAGTTTGACAAAGGCGGGGCGCGTTCATCCGACGCCGGAGTTCCGGGAAAGGGGTGGAACCAGTCCGCTCAGGAACCGCAAACATTTTGGCAAGTAACCGATCACGCTGACGCAAAGCCTCGATTGAAGTGATTAATGTACACTAGTATATTAAAATCAGTACAAAGGTCCCCTACACCAGTGTGCGTGCAGATTCTGCAGAACAGCAGGGGAGATGAAGGTAGACTATGTGCTACGAAGGCGCCTTTGTGGACGCAGACGGCAAAACTGTACGCAGTCGCTGTCCGTCTCGAAGGGCGCGCAGAGACGTGTCTCGCAGCTGACAAATATTTGAATTTTTCCACCGACTGGGCGGGCCCTGTCAAACTGCGAAGCCTTGAAGGAGAAACCAACTGTGGTTCGTGATCGGGGTATCAGGCGGACACCAGGGTCGGCGGGACATCTAGAGAATAAAAGGCGAAATACCTGAGATTCAGTCTGAAGTTAATGGTAGTCCCAAGTAAGGAAAAAGTAGGCAAGTTCCACGTACCCATTTTTGATGAGGGCAAATTTCTCGGAGGGGGGTGCGTTCTCCTCCGCACTCACCCAACAATTTCTTAGGACTAGTTTGGCGTTGATGTCCTCTTGCCTCAGAGACACTTTGGCGTAGATTGTCTGTTTCGGCAAGATATTCAGCGGCTTACTGATGGGATTTAGAAAGCTAAAAGGAAGAGGTTAGCTCTGAAACGAACTGAATCGCGCCTCACTGTATGTCGCTGTAGAAGGATAACGTGGCTGATGTATTCCATGACGCGACCACTGGGGGCAGTGTACTCACTGGGGCTGCTTGGACATCCGAAATAACAGAATCGGCACGACTAACTAAACAGGTAATGGGCAGGAGTGTTTGTGGTCTTGACCCCAATCTCGACCGATTGGTGCCGATCAGGAGGGAGAGGCGCAGTGCAAGGATCGTCGAGTTACTCTGGAAGTAAAAAGCATATATGTGATCTACTGACCATATTAAAGTAGACAGTTTAACGTTAAATTTAATTATTACCAGTTCATATGTGCCTCCACACTCCTCCATCGGGATGACCGCCACAATGTCCGAGTCTGTCTCAGTCACATTGATTACACAGGCGGGTGGGCGAGTGCCGTTGATGGTTATCATACCGGGCGAAAGTCCCTCGTTATGCTGCTTTGAGAACGTAACCACGGCCACTGAAGCTTCACAGTGGAGCTGGGGAGGGGCAACTAGGGCAAGAGAGGGCACGTAATGGTAAGGAACCCGGACAGGCTTATATTGTACTTTGTTCATCATCATCATCATCATCATCATCATCATCATCATCGTCATCATCAACATCATCATCACGACCACCACTCCCATCGTCGTCAGCCGTTAGACTGTGACATCAGTTTCAGAGCGAAGGTGTAATGTCGGGCATAAAATACGGTTAACAAAGCCAAAGATGAAAACAGAAATTGGAAGAGGGAACACTACTGCCGGCCCACGCCATTATCCGGATGTTGGGGCCAGTAACTTGAGACTTCCCATCTGTGCTTAAGTATGCATGAGCGGTTTTCACACCGTCCGGCCTGCATAACGGCAGAGGCAGTCGTGGCATGAGATTGGACAAACTAAGCGCTGTTGCTCATCTCTGCCCTGTCGGTCCTTTGCACAGCACCCCCTCTTTCGAGCTCTCCTTACGCACCCGCCATGTTCCTGTAGCCGGAGAACGGCATGGGCATCGCGGCCACGCAGCACAAAGCTCCGATCACTCGCGTTTCACGCATGTGCTTGGGCCCATTAGATCTGACGCAACGGCGCTGCGCTGGACGTTGGATTACTGCCCGCACCACGGTCACACCACACAGGCGGCTGCGTCACCAACGCTGTCAGTCATGGTGCAGAGGGGCGACAGCGTTACCACGGGCAACAGTGCGAGTAAGCAGGTGAACCTTCAGTTGATAAACACACACACAGAGGCCTTACAGCCGTCGCAGTGATCATGATACGATGGTAGATAGTGGGGGCGGAGACGTCTTACTGGGGACACGAGGAAACACGTAAACGAGGTAATGAGGACTCGTGGTGACATGTGAATATAAATGCACTGACTTTTCTGAAAAGTGAAGAACAGGAAAACGGGTTATTTTGCCTCGCTGAAGATAACAGGACGCTTTTGATCTACAGCACCAAAAAGGGCACCTATGTAGACACTTCACTCGGAGGATCGTTCTCGGGTAACAGCGTTCGCTAGTCTCCTATCCGACACAGTTTAGCCGTTCGTGTCGACTATGTCCATCGTGTGCTCCACAGCAGGGTGAGAGCAGACACGGTGAATTTCGTGTAAATTAGTTAACAGCGATGGCAGACTTTCGAAGCATCCACCGCACTCCTCCTTTCCCACCTACGGCAGGTGTCATAACCACGTCAAGAAGACCGGAGGCGGGATAGAACGCAGGTGGTTGGCACGGCGAAAGCCCGCACCCAGGCGTACAACAAACAACAACAAACACTTGATCAGGATTTCCGACAACGGAAGTGGGTGGGGAGGGCGAAATTCCAATTGGCGCCACGTCTGCCGGCAACCAGACGTGCCACCACAACCTTATGGGTTCGCATCCAATTATAGTCCCCGTGTAGGTCCAGCGCGTCTACCGTTTAGGGGACACCGTCTTCTATCCACTTAATTAGGCATTTACAACTGTCGGGGATGAGTGGCCAAACACATGCTAACCCGGTTACACGTGGGGAATCAGGACAGGCCCAGGCACCCTCGAAAGTGTCATTCTTAGTCCTTCCAGTTGGTAAAACTCCGACCTCTAGGTACTTGAAACTAGGCGCATCACGAGAAGCAGCCCAAAAATTTTTTTCCTTTAGAAGCATCCTAGACAACACGGGTCACATCGGTGACCGACAGGCGCTATCGGAGACGCGCACCCATAAGAAGTGCCAATGTTTGGGGCATGACGGCGGACACTATCGCAGGGTCATGTCCCGCCCCCTGTTCTGTTTGTATAAACTCCTGGTTAAGTGTTTGCTGTAGACCACTTGGTAAAACTCCGACTTCTAGGTACTTGAAACTATGCGCATCACGAATAGCCATTAGAAATGGAGAGTGCCTTCTTTTTGGTAGGAGACGCAGCCCAGGGGAACTTCTCTTTTAAAAAAATTCGGCAACAGGGGGCCAAATCGGAGTCCGACCGGCATTATCGGGAACGCACACCTACAAGAAGTGCCAACATTTGGGGTGTGGTAGCACGCCCAGTTGCAGGCCCATGCCGCGCCAATTGAGATCCGTTCGGCTCTCTGTTCTCGTCTAAAATTCTGATCAAGCGTTTGTTGTAGACCAGGCGAAGGTGCGGGTTTTCGTCTTTCCACCCACCTGCGCCCTCTCCCGCCTCCGGTCTTCCTGAGACCGGGCACCGGGGGGGAGGGGGGAAGGAGAGAGCGCGGTAGATGCTGCGCAAGTCCACTATCACTATAAACTAGATCACGCGTGACTCACTGTCCCTACTCTCACCCTGCTGTGAAGTGCACGGTGGACATCGTCATCAATGACGATCGAACTGTCTAGACACCTTCGCTAAAGTAATACATTCTAAGGGTCAGTAGTTCAATATTTGGCCACCACAACGGGTAGTGGTGGTGGTGGTGGTGGTGGTGGTGGTAGTAGTAGTAGTAGTAGTAGTAGTAGTAGCAGTAGTAGTAGTAGTAGTAGTAGTAGTAGTAGTAGTAGTAGTAGTAGTAGTAGTAGTAGTAGTAGTAGTAGTAGTAGTAGTAGTAGTAGTAGTAGTAGTAGTAGTAGTAGTAGTAGTAGTAGTAGTAGTAGTAGTAGTAGTAGTAGTAGTAGTAGTAGTCATTGTGGTGATCCAGATACGTTATTAATAAACCCATGTACAGCATTTCCAAGTGTCGACATAACGCGAGACAGTCCGGTAGGATAAACGACAAGACGCCTGACCGGTCATCGGACGGTCTTCGGCCCTTATGGAAAGAATGTAAAAACCTCTGGACGCCGGCGTACAGAGTCCCGCGCAGTCACCTCCCGTCTTGCGCCGTCGATCGATGATTGGATAACACGCCCTATAACCGTCGTTGGTTCTGTTGTTGCTACTATCTCTGACGATGGACACCTGCAGGAGCTCGAAAGCTCAGAACAGTAAACAGAATGTTCCGGTGCTCGAACACTCCTCCACTTCACCTATGCATACACCTGAAACTCGAGCTTTCGCCTCCGTTCGTGAAACCTTTAGCCCTCAGGAAATCCAACCGATGCGCGGGGATCATAGGCTCTTGATCACCGAACAGCCACTGGATGGAGGAAAGGTTTTCTGCCGTTACTGAGCTCGAAGTTGGACGTCTTTCTCCACCAGCTTTAGCAAGTCAGTTTAAGGTCGCCGGGTTTTGTTGGACGGCTGATGAGGAGGCCTTATTGGCTGGTGGGCAACATTTGCCTGATCAGCGACCAGCCAGGGTTTGGTAGTAGTATGGCAGGAAGAAAACAAAGAGGGTGCCCCCAGGCTCCGAGACCTACCGAGGGTCGGTGCTGTTTCCTGTGGGCCGCAAATAACTCCGACGTCCATGGAGTGAACGCAACCCTTCACAACACCCCAGCCTGAGCCTAGAGAGCAGTCGTTCAAGGAAGTCGCTCCGGGTGGGCAAGCAATGCGCGCCAGATGGATTGGAATGTCGGTCGGGGCGGGAGACTCTGGTAGTTCGAATTGATCAATCACAGGGTGTGCGTAGGCCAGATCATCACTAGCAGAGAGAGAGTGAAATTTTTGTAACACCGAGCCCATGCAAATAAGATGGACAAAAAGGCCCAATCGCCTGAAGGCATGACACGGTACGCGGCTGATGGTAGCATCAAAAAGGCACAATTTTAACAAGACCAATTAACTGGAAAATAATCAAAAAAGCCTGAAGGCAATCTTAGTTCCTTGAAACATCTCTTGAAGCTCTTATAACCAAAACCAGGCCCATGGACAACGAGATAGAGGCAAAAAATTGCCATTTGTACTTTAGTGCACCAGTGGAGACAAGAAAACAGTTGAAGGTTATCCTGGAGGTGTCGTTAGTTGATTGTTCCTTATTGTTGTACCTATAGTAGATGGCTCCAGGAGCTGGGGATAGGTCGAATCGCCAGTATAATGCATTAACTTCTAACTGCCAGACCTGATTCATTTCTCTGGCTATCTTTCATTCAGTTTGCTGAAGTGTTGGTCGGCTCTCGAAACCAAATGGTAGCTGTTTCTAGAACTGCGTTGCGAAATCGTACTCCTAATATTAGCTGAAAGAGTGCTATTTGAAGTCTTTTGGGATTCACAACGGGTTAATAGCCTCACCATCCTATCCGATTCTACAGCCCAGAACCTATCCCAGTTTTCACTGCCATCGCAAATGTACGTCACGCACCGGCCTGGTCGGTTACTTGCGGATAAATCGCACAGGGACTGGCGAACCAGTGCCAGGAGCACTAAAATACACACACCACACCCACCTCCACCGCTCATACTGTCCACGCAAATAAACTCATCGCATGTGCCTTCGTGAAAAGCTGTGGTAAATCCCCACAAACATACCACCACACAAAACCCCATCAACACATGCACCACGCATACACCACGTCAACATCCCACACCACAGGAACCTCACGTAGGAGGGAAGTGTGCCTTTCAGTCCTTCTCTCCGTGTGGCTCCACTGCTGACCCTCTTCTCGGCTCCGAGCGTCCGGTCCCACCCAGAGGCATACCACCACACACTTCCCCATCAGCACATAAGAGGGGAGTATGTTTTTCGGCCCTTTTCTCTGTGTGGTTTCTCTGATGCATGTGGCATCCGAGCGTCCTGTCCCCCTGTGCGTGAAATCCCGCCGTGTGCGTTTGGGGGGGTGGGCGGGGGTGGGGAGAGCAGGTCGTGCACGTGGCGCGACAGTGAAACTGTCGTCGTTGTCATGCATGTGGATTGTGCGGCAAGCAAGTCTCGGCAGCCAAGGGGCTTAAACTCGCTGTCATTTTTAATGACTTCGCTTTGTTATTACTGACAAAGACAAGGGAGACTGGAATGACCATTTCTGGCTTATTAGCCGTCGTTAGCCAGTCATACCCAACTCCGAAGTGTGGAACACCCCAGGCTCGAACTGGCGGTCTCCAGAGTTCGGGGTTCGGTATGACTGGCTGACGACGGCTAATAAGCCAGAAATGGGCATTCCAGTCTCCCTTGTCTTTGTCGGTAATATCATTCTGCCTTTATCATGCGCCGCTGTGTGGCTGCTGGTTGGGCTCGAGAGAGAGCCCGTAAGGCACAACGGAACCAGTGAGTTCCGTAAAGAACGATCGGTGAGCGCCCCCTACCATTGACTTCGCTTTGCTGTGTAGGTCCGCATCGCCTTAAGTGCGTTTCGCGAAAATTCTCGCCACTCCTGACTGACAAGGCAGGATAGTAAAACAGGTGGCAACCCCTCGCTGCCAAATCTTTTATTGCATCGCTGAGTAACCAAATCGGTTTGATTTGCTGCACACTAGCTACGTAACATAATTAGAAGTTAGGACAAGAGAGGCCGCTTCGTAAAGGTGGGTGGTGATGGCCTATTTATTCGTCTGACGATCTTACCATCCCATCAACTGAATTCAGAAGACGAAGATGCGATCACTGAAACGAGAAATGTATTGGCCTGACGTTTCGGATTCTCACTCTAATCCATCATCAGAGACATTCGCAGATAAAAGTGATGATGGCAGAGGGAGAGGCAGTATTTATAGCACATGGCTGCCGTGGGACCATATGCGCACTGTAATTAACAGTTCCCGCAATCACCGCTGGGGTGGTAATTGATGCGGTGGTAGCTTGTCAGTCCGTGTCCGAGTCGTTATATGCACTCCCTGTGCCACCATCACCTTTATCTGTGACTATCTCTGATGATGGATTCGAGTGAGAATCCGAAACGTAAGGCCAATAAATTTCTTGTTCTAGCGATCGCATCCTCGTCTTCTGAACCGCCACATGGAACTCACCTGTTCGCTTCTGTCTGAAACTGAATTGTCTGCATTCTGCCGGAACCTTCTAGCCATCAGTTGTTCTACTATTTGATGCCCGGCAAAGCAACGGTGCACCAACACAGAATCCTAGGCGATCTCGCAGACCTGGTCTCAAACTGCCAACACTTCAATTTCGCCTCTGTAAGACGGGACGGGCGGCAGATAGCAAAATAATTTTTGGGAAATAATCCAGCCCTGGGGTCTGAAGGACAAGCAGCGGCCAGCTGCCAGTGCAGCGCTAAGGAGGTGGGGTCCGACGAATCGACTACCCTATACAGTACAACAGAGTCCGATGTTGGCAGGGCGCTCACGAATGGCCGGCGAGTACTTCGAGCTACAGTCGCCTTGGAGCAGAACATGCATTCGAAGGAAGTAATCACAGGAGGCCACCGTCAAAATTGCTCTTCTGTGGGGTAAAACCTGACCCGCACACTCAAAAGGTGTGCACTACCTGGAAGTACTCAAATGACGCTGATTGCGCTCTATTCTCCGACCTCGGCTCCACGGTCGCGTCCCCAACGAAAGTCTGTACAATCGACCTGATGCATCGCGTCCGCTTTACCTGCCTACTGAGGTAGTTCGGTCCTGTGCTGTGTAGCCCGAAGGCAAACCCCATCCCGGCTTGTCGACTGAAAACGCGGATTATTAATTTCAAGCGCATCTCTGGCTCTGCGCGCTTCGGCCTGCGGACCAATCAACTTAACTCCCTTGAAAGAATGCAACGTCGGGCGATTTTCCACTCTGTGATAAATCTGCAGCAATAAGAAGACAGAATCGGTCATGAAAAACGTCAGGTAAAATGTCTGTGACGACACGCTAGTCGCCACACGCTTGGCGGTATATGCATCGCTGAATTCAACTTCACTTTACCAAAAATTTAGCTCACAACAGGGGACGGACGAGTTGGGGAGATTTCATTTATAAGCGTTCAGATATCAAGACACAAGACAGCGTCATCCAAACTGGTGTTCTACAGAAAGTCGCACGCGTTCAAAAACTGCTACAATATGACAGCCAGCACTCCTCAGAATACGTAGAAGGTAAGGCCTGAAAATTTAGACAGGGGCTGAGAGATGGCAGGTACTTGTCAGAGTTTCGTCTCTTTAACCAGTGTCCGGAAGCTTCGAAAACAAAGACTAAACGGAAACAGCCAATGAGGTCGGCTTGAAAGGCAGAGCGGAAACTTTCACTACACGGCATGCCATGAAAGGCATTTAAAAAGTCACTAAACGCATGTCAAGGTCGGCTAAAGTGAATACTGGACATCGGTCTGAGCCAATAATCCGCCGTCTAGTCATGATTTTCCGGGATCCACATAAGGGAGCTTGACTTAATTGATCTTTATACTGCCATGACATGACCCAAAAATAGCTTTCAATCTAGGTGCACGAGTATGGAGCAGCAATTGAGCGGAAAGGCCTGGGCTCACAGGTTATGCGCAATCTTTGGAACGCCGTCGATTCGTTCTGCCGGCCTATACATGAGAGTACTGGAGACAACCGACCTGATAGTTTAGAACGAAATAAATCAGTCGCCGAGTCAATCTTTCACGACTTGAAGATATTCATTCTACAAATGCACGAGCCCCTGTTAAAAACGATCTTTTCCGACAGTTCAAAACTCTGTTTTTGTGTCGGACAAGGTGAAATTCGGTTGCCCTTTCAGTCCCAAGCTATTGTGACCTAAGAATCACTAAATGAGTTCGGTTAGCCATCTACGGTGCAAAGACCAAACTATTATTTAGTCGCAACTTTGACTGGAAGAATTAACACCTCTCGATTAATATTTCTTCTCGCCAAGAAATGAGATATCGCGAACACCCATAGGTGAAATTTATACTAAACGGACAAAGCGCACTCATCAACAATGCAACTGAATCGACACCGCCCGAAGAGTTTTTTGCGAGCCTCTGAGAGTGCCCATGCGTCCCTAGTGACACCCGGATCGTTACCAAGATACCTGGCACAATTCCGGTCAGTTTGAAAGGAGTATTCAGGTCAGTTTTGAATGAGACAGCCAGTATTTGTATCTCTCATGTCATAGAAAGAGAGTGGTTTAAATGGTTTCAAAATGTTCTTTGTCGGTTTTCCAACAAGTTTAATACTGCTGTCCCAAATCCGATGCTACTTTGGCGAAAAGGTATCTCGACCATTAATTGAAAGACTAAAAAATGCATAAACTTATTGACCACTATGATTATGCTTCAAGCAGCTCCTACCTGGACGCAAGATTTAAGCGAATTAACGGAGACAAAGAAATAGTCATGTGAACTCTTTTCCATTATTTCTCAAAACGGCAATTATAATGCAAGCCACCTAAAAGTAACTACCAAAGTGCGGTGCATTTGTCTTCATTTTGTCAAATCTATAAGTTCGAGCTTGTCATCGGAGAGTGTGGTTGAGAACAACGTTGAAAAAAAACGAGTAAATGACTGTACCTAACTGAATAATTTCGCAAAAACAAAGTGGCCAAAATTTGCGAATTGATGTAGCCTGTAAAGTTGCGAAAAACTAGTGTGAACTAACAAGGATCTCGGCATGGTGGGCAGTGTTTTGCATAGTTGGGATTACGAGGAATTGTCATGCGTTCTTCCTGCTAAATGTATCCTTATTTGCACCGGTTAGAATCGGAGTTGAATCAGCCGACCCCTCAATCCACGGCATAAGTTGAATATCTATGACAGTCTGAGGAAACATGGTGCATGAGGCTACGGCCGGCCTCTGGCTGTGACGTTATTCGGTGAGGTGGCTATTTGGATTGCCGTGGCTGGATGGCAGGCAACATTTGTCATGCAGTGTCACTTTGACTTTTGACCGTTTGAAATATTTGTCCGATCATTGCCCAGCTATGATTTGGAAAATAACCATTACACGGCCTACGATCGGTTATTTATCAGACCTGATTTCGCTGAATTCCTTCCAAGCCTACTATGAAGGCAGCCAGCAACTAGGCTAACAAACAGGCGCTGTTTTCGTTGTGAGATGCTTGAGGCGCAATGACTAGAAAAAAACACATTTTCGCAGTTCTAACACGGCAAAAAAAACAAATCGTTTGTACAAACCATCAGGTCACTAGACTCATGCCATCGCAGCAACAATTTATTCGTCCATCCGCACCTTAAACGTGACAGTTGGGTTAGCACCTCTAGTAACCAACCGAAGCCGATCGACTGAGACTCTAACAGCAACAGAACACAAAGCGATTTCGCATCGGACTCCAGAAGTCGACCAGTCGAGCTCGCTTCTAGCTCGGAAGTAACCACTACTTCGAGATCAATCCGAGTTCTAGTCGGTGGATCAAGTAACAACAACCCGTGAAAGAAGGTCAAGAGTCCAAGGCCAATTGACGACCACTTATGTGCTAACCCGGAACTGATCACGTTAGTTAAACTTTCACTTGAATTCCATTGCTTTAAGGGGAAAGTCCGCTTAAAATTGCTGAACTCAGTGTGGAGCACAGAAAAATCCGGAATTAGTCTCTGGAGTTAATCAAAACTTTCAGAACCAGCGCTCTCACATTAACCTTAATTGCAACCTAATTCAAGGACTGATCCACCAAAAATAATGTGCACAAACAAAATACACAAGGGAGCTTTCAGATTAACTGACTTGCTATGACAAAGCATGCGACAGATGGTCTTCGCCTCATTCACCCCAAAGCCGTCCGCGCAGATAGTGCCCCATTCACCTGTCTCTTGATGACGTACTTGAACAAGGCCGGCAGATGACGTGCCCCCAACCAGTCGGACATCGGTCGAATTACCCGGGCCTGAAATAGTTGAGAATATTTGAGAAAAAAATGTTTGCCATTGAACAAGAACCCTACTTAAACACTGTGTAAACTGACTTACAAGTAACTGGAGCAAATTTCACTGGCGCAACAGTTGTCATACTGCCAAGGTCCGCTGGCTCTAAGCACATAATCGAGACATCCCTTTCATGATTTAAGCAAACGCGTGGCGGTTCAGAAGTAAACTCGCAGTTGCCTAGATGAAGAGATGGCGGATCAGGGGGGTTCGGACCAAGCGATACGCGGTCCGAGCAATTGAAATTCGACAAGCCAATGTCTAGTGAGCTTCGTCCTTTGCTGTTCAGTATTGGTACGCCAAATGGTGGGCTAGAACGCTTGTTAAAAAACATAAAAACCAACAATCCAAGCATATAGCAGGCCGTGGAGGCAGCGATGTGATCAAATCCGAAATTGCAGACGGCAAACCACCTTCCATTATATTTGACCTCTAGCACACCGTCTCTGCCATGCGGAAACAGATTAGATCCCGCTGCAAGGCGGACAGACGAAATCCCGCTTACATCTATCTAAATGTCAAATATTTTGCGTATGCAAACCTAGGCCGTTGGTCGTCAAGAAAGTCAGAGAAATACAAAGCAGTAGTCCCAAAAACATCAGGGGCGGCTGGAGGCGCTACACAAACAGTCCGAAAAGCCCCCGTTTCTCGTAAATTTCTTTATGTGACGGGTTTAAACGCGAGGCAGATGGAAGTACAAAGGAGGTTGCTGTCTTAAGCCAACAGTTCAACTTTTTAAGAGACAGTTCTGCCATTAATCTGCATAGGTCGGATGGCAAAATGAACACTAAGGAGTTGGCAAAAGACACCTGCTTGAGGACGTTATGCGGTGGGGGATGCATGAGAATTTCCGAAGGCCCGAAAACTCATTCCAGCTCAGTTCAGTTTATTATAAAAATGTGTGACCCTTTGACTACTTGTTTTGAACCTATACGTAAGTTCAGTATACAAAATTACCATGTGGGTTGAAACAATTCAAATTGGGCCATAAGAGAGTGACAAACTGAGCGTAAGTCCTATGGTTTGAGCAGGATTTCCCGTTGGCCTTGCTCATCGCTGAACTCAAATATGTCAAGGCTCCTTTAAGAGCTTTGATTGATGTTGACATCCCAAAATCGGCAGGAATAGCATTCCACGGTTTAAGCACTCGGATATAGAAGGATAAATCCCGCACATCCATCCACGCTTGATGAATGCACAGTTTTCAATTCAATTATTTTTGTTAAAGACCCGTCGGGATCCCATCAAACGGGTAACCTCAGAGCTTGGTTATCGCAGGGAGTTCAAGAAAGTCTTAAATAGCTAGGTATCCTTCTTATCCCTTCACAGTGTGGAATGCTTGTAAGAGATCCCGCGCACTTGCCTAATACTCACATGGGGGTGGTTCACATTTGTCTGCCTGATTGTATAGGGAAATGAGCTTTTAACACCTAACCATTATTGTGGTTAACCTCTGGATTATTTCAAGACTATTTTGATTTTAAACAGCCCACGGTTTTAAAGCTTGTATGCCGTATTCCAAGTGCGACCACACGGACTTTCCAAAAGTCTTACAGAAGACGTATTCGTCAGGATCCTTAAAAGCTCACTTAATAACAGTCAGTGTGGACATTGCGCATTTGCCACTCCCGAAAATTGGTCGGATGGCTTAAAGGAGTTCGTCTTTAGCATGCCGAGGTACTTTGGCCTCCACGTCTCGTAAGGCTGCACCGCCCACAGAGTAGTCCTTTGTGATGGCTTCGTTTCCCAGGCGAAGTATGCAACACTTACCCCTGCTAAGTCGCATAAGCCAGCGTTTTGAACACTCCTCCAGCTGATCTAGGTTCAACTGCATTTTACCTTCGTCGGCAGGGCCTCACATTCCACTCCATACCTTCATGTCATCAGCAGGCATTGCTGCGTCGTAGAAAAGCGAGACTTGTCTTGTCTCCCTTGTCTTTGTAGGAAATAACATTTTGAAACAAGAAGAATTCGATGCAAATCCAAGCGTACGAAGTTGTTTGAGACCGCTGTTGAGACCAAGTGGTGTGAGTGTGTGTTCTGTGAGCTACAATTACTAAGTCAAATCCCATGTTGGAAGGAGAAAACAGAAAGCACCAGAATGTGGGATTTAATGAATACGAAATCTGCAGTTGTCCACTCAGACGGCTGTGACCATTGGCGAAGCTAGGGCCGATGTTGACTGCATCTGGTCACGCCTGAGAGTACTTGGGACAGTGGCGTCAGCCACTTTTGTAGGCTCGTGGGTCAAGCTCAAGTGGTGGCCAGTCAGTGTGTGTTGCATATGCCGAATGGTGGTACCCCAATGGCATAGATTTTGCTTGCAGGTGGTGGGATGCGTTCAAGTGGCCGCATAGGCAGTGGCGGCTGTGCGGACGCAGGTATGCCCGAGCTGTCGGTCGTGTGACTTTAGTTCAACGCGTCTAAAACGACTTACTGCACAGGGTGAATGACCTTGAGGCGTCAGGTCTTGAACAATGACGTCAGACCGGTCATGATGGCTGCCCGCTACGGTGTCAAGGCCAAGCCGCCGGCAAGAACTTTGAAGATAAGTAAAGGGCATTATTCATAAAGATTTTTTCTGAGGGACGCAACAACTTTTAGCCATTTTTCAAATCAAGTTCTTAAAATACAAGTCTATTACCTTAGAATTATTGGTTGTCGTTTATCTTTACAGTTTTGCCAGACTGTGACTTTAGCCTATCAGTCGTACGCAATTCGCATCCAGTATATTTGAACTCTCCCCAACAGTGTGCATTTTCTACCTCGTCAACCTCTCACTGAAAATCGCCGTCACATTTCTCAGTAGTTTTGGTTAATCGATACTTACCTCGACATATGATAAGAACAAAAGTCGCAGGTCGGCGAAAGCCCTCAACCTTTGCGCCTAGGCGTGTATCTCTGAGACCTAGATCAGACAGCATTTATAACAATTCGTCATCCGTTGTTACTGATAGGCAGCTTGATCTGCCTGCGCTTTACAATTGCAGCGAATTTATGCTAACCTTTGTCTATATGTCATAAATTCCGGTAAAATTGTTTAATGGGAACATCTCCGATGTTTCCTACCAAGAATGCAAGCCTCTTGACTTGCTCGTTCACTTGATTGCTGATGTATTAGTGATAAATAGAGGGAGGACTACTAAATTCTTATTGAAAAATATCAGTCGATATGCACGGTTAGGTGATTTTGCGATTGATTTCCTGTACTGGTTTGCTGAGCAAAGCGAAGTGATTCTTCTTTTGTTTTACTAAAGTGACTTCCGAAAGACAGACTGAAGAGCGGCAATGTTGTGATTTCAGAGTCAAAGGTTGAAGACTGTGTTCCATCCCCCCTAGTGGTCCCCAGCTCAACACGCCCTGTAGTTTGCTCAAGCGCTGATCTGGAAATCATAGTCCGACAGGTCCTTTCGTGAGTGACTCATTGTTATCTAATCCACATTTCATCCACATCGCTATCTGACGGCTGCCTGCCTGGACGATTGTGCAAACAAATGTCGATCCATTAGCACGACCAATCGATTGGGGAACTATTCATCATAGCTTATGCCGCGAATAGTCAAAATGGACTGGCGAAATTATCCCCGAAGACGAGAAGATTAACTCATACACCTGTGTGGTAGATTCACATGACTCGACCGACTCCGCCTAACCCAGAAGGAAATGCTTACGGAGATCGTGTTTCTGTGTATGCGAAAGACACGAACTTTTTTCATTGTCATTATCATACCTCACATAGCACAGAATTAGGTCACTTTTCTGACATAAACCCTAGTATTCTTAGTCAAATGTCCATCAAGTCGATTATAACACAAGTAGTCGTGCAAACTCAGTTAATCCTACTCCCGCAAACCCCGACTCACTTCTTCCCCTTACGCCCACATTTGCCTGTCACTCAAGCCATTTAACGCCTTGAACAATTTTCACCTTAGCAGTAGCCCCAGTTGTTGTTCCCAACTCTCCTACTTGTCCTCCTAGAACGTAGGCATATCCGTCTACATCAGCTGGACCGATAGCTTCTCCAATTCAACAGGATCCATCGGGTTTCCCATTTAAGTAACCTTGGCATGACGTCGGCGAGATGAGATTCAAAAACGGAATCCAAATCTCACCCAAAAGAAATACAGCGTCATTCCATTTATTGGTGCGCCGCCTTCTCTTAGATTTACTAAGCCTTTACAACCGAGCTCGTTTATAAACTCGTAGGTCTAACTAAACCTCTTAACAATTCTATGTTCCTCATGCCAACAACTAGCCAGCGCCCTACTATGTATCCTGTAAAATGTCCTCACATGAACTACCTTAAGTAATTTACTCCCCAACCTAGTTCAGGCTTCCCACCACTTAAAGCCAATAAATCTCACGTAAATCCTCCTAACTCCTGTTTCTTCCATCCCAGATCTGGTTTTCCACTATTTGTTTCTTATAGCTGTCTGCCTTACCCTATCTTCCTTCTGGGTCCGCTCCTCTCCAAGTTAACTACCAACAAGCACATGCCTGTTCTAACTCTCTTAGTGTTTCGGTGTCTGAAAACTATATCCCTACATCTTTTAGGTTCCCCTCAGTTTTTTCTTGCTGACTCACAATATGTCAATTATTCTGGGCTTATTACTATTTCCTCTCCAAATAACATTGGTTTACAGCTTACCTGTCAACCTAGACATTTTGATAATAAGTGCCGTTGACAATAGACATGTTGCTCGAAAAACATTGAATATTATATTATGAAAGGCCAGGTCTGTTATAAACAAAGTAGCCAAAACCAAAAACATTACTATCGAAATTACGACCGATGTTATATACAGGACCAAATCCTATACTTATTCCCTTGTTCTCGAATCTTTCCTTTTAATGCATGATTTTGATTTCTACCGTCGAATCGGCCAATTAGGCGCGGAGGTGGCTACCTTCCTAATATTAGATCTCCCCTAATGCACTATCCCTTTGTTGTGAATGTTTCCTCATTTTCGGGAAATCTCTGCTTCGCATATTTGTTCTCTTGACAACGAGGAAGAAGATTATTGGCTATGTCTGCAACCCTGAATTACGCTGTATTTCGAATGACTGTCCACCTAGATTCCCACCTTTTTAAGATATTATGAATTGTTAACTGATCTCAGCTTGTGCACTCTCCAACAGGCGATAATCGCATTTTAGTTATTTTTTTTACCAATAACACTGTCTCTCGTTTCGTTGAATTCGGAGAGGATCTGGTCATAGTGACAGCGTATTAATTCGTCGTTGTCTACCACTCACCTTTTCAAAGAAGACCAGCGTATTATAGGCTAACATGGATTGCGAATGCGAGGACAATGACTTAATAAATAACTTTGTTGGACCATTGAATTGGCATGGTTTGCTAACCCGCTATGACGCAACATTTTTGTGACGTCATTTCCACTGCTTCCAAATACGTCCTAGAGTCTATGCCTCGTACATATCTGAAGTCTAACTCACCAGATTCCCTTAGTCCTCACTTTATTTGTAAAAGACTCAAAAAGTTGAGACAACAGCTGCATGACTTATCCATGAGTTCTCTATCCGTTTAGTTTAGAATCACAGAACTTTTAAAATGACCGCGATGTTGTGCCAGGCGCGCGCGACGGGCAGAAAGATTTAGTTAATCTCAACGGTACGAATCCTGCCAAATCCGTTGCTGGAATCTCCCGTCATCGGTCCTCCTCCAAGTGTGGTCATGAAATTCCACCATTGCTAAACAATAACACAACCGTCCTCAAACATGACACTGATATGGCAGAATTGTCTAGTGTGCTCTTTGCAGAACGCCATACCATTGAGTCTGAACCAGCCCCTTCCATTTGTTCGGCTCCAGGCTTCTCATCTAGTTAAGAAACACATATGTCGTTTGAAAAACTCATACCGGGATTCCAGAGTCGAGTATCAAACAGGCACCTGACTTTCTCATATTGCTCAGCCATTTATTTTTGGTCTATATTTCGAGCGGACGTCTACCCGAAACACGAAAACATCGGTTATTCTTCTTACCTTTAAATCTGGATCTCGATCTGATGTTAATAACTACCATTGCATGCACAAAACCCTATCTCTAGCAACACTTCTTGAAAGGATAATTTTCAAGAAATTCTTGATTTCTGTCAAGCAAATCAACTTCTCAGCCCTTCTGTGTCTCTAAAATAATGTTCATTTTAAGCTGATGATGGAGGATTTTTACAGCGCGATGACATGCTTGGAAAGGCCAAATTACGTGAACAATATCCGTATTACGTATGGAAGCATAGATACATGCCACAGGAATCGCTTTACGAAAGAAATAGGGAGAGGAGGAGAAGGAGGAGGAGGAGGAGGAGGAGGAGGAGGAGGAGAAGGCGTAGGAAGAGAAGGAGGAGCAGGAGGATGAGGATGAGAAGGAGGAGGAGGAGGAGGAGGAGGAGGAGAAGAAGAAGGCGTAGGAAGGGAATGAGGGGTAGGAGGATGAGGATGAGGATGAGAAGGAGGAGGAGGAGGATGAGGATGAGGAGGAGGAGGAGGAGGAGGAGGAGGAGGAGGAGGAAGCGGCGGAAGAGGAGGAGGAGGGAGAGGCGGAAAAAAACAAAAGAAGGGGATTAAGAAGAAGGATCACAGATAGGAGTTGTACCTTTTCGAATCTCAGACGTGCTCAACTTCCTAATTAAAGAGTAAAAATCTACCAATTTTAATTCACTCCACTCATTGACTGGTCTGGTGTCTCCGTAAACATCTGCACTGCGTTTGCACAAAGGTCTGTTGGGCATGCCAATGTCGAGCTATTCTGTGGTGGTTCGCAACATGACACCTGAATGACGAGTCTCGTTCGAGTCGGCGCAACTTTTCGTAGTGACTCTCGGCTCACTTCGGTCTTGGCGTGAGGGGAATTCTACGCGGCGACCGCCCAAGTTCGTCTATGAATTTCGTAAATGCAACATCTCTCAGGATGTCCTTCTCCCTTATCAGACGCTGATGCGTGCTTCAAAGACGTCGAAGGTGTGGTTAGTTTTCCCCCCACTATAAGCGGACGACGGAGGTGATGAATTCTCATCACCAATCGATGGACGCGACTAAAAGTGCGTTAAGTTAGATAAACACACATACTTTCCAAGTGCCCGATCATCCTTCTATCTGCCCTGATATTGAAAATCATAGAAAATCATTCGTTTACACCATGCGGAACTACATCCGCGGCTAGCTTTTGTGTAGACACTTTTCTGGTGTTAACTACAGCCGTGTGCTTAGCGGGGTTATAAAAATTCATTCGGAAGAAATAACCACTCACGTTACTTTGCAGTCCCTATACCGTTTTGTCAGGGCCACACCCTGCAGTTTTAAGTAATTACCAGAATTAGTTAATCCATTATAAAAGCACTATTTGCCGTCTAAAATAATGATTATCAGTGTAGATATTTTCAAAAATTTGCCTTAATGAGTCAACTAACAGATGTGCGATTAAAGTCCTGAAACGGCGGTTCGCCTATAAGCACCCGTTTTAATAAATCCGACAAATCTACTCCAAGACACAAATTTTGAATGAATTTCCTCAGAATTTGGGTGTGACAGGGCAGCAGATGCGTAAGAGCACTCTACAAAGTACAGTAGTTGGGCTAACTCATGGAATGTCAACCGAAATTCCAAAATGCGTTTTCGTTTCGAAAAGATTAATTAAGTAGATTTGTAACACTAGTCAGCCTGCAGCATAATTCTATAATATTTTGGTTACGACAAGATGCCGACATTCGAGTGGACTTCCTTCCGGCTGCATGAAAAAACCACACTCTGTAAAAATTACTACCTAAGTAGAAAGAATTTTTCTCGATGATTTTCGATGCCCCTAAATATCGAATTATATTTCATGGAAAACATGCATAAAAAATTCATTCATTTGCTCTTTGGGTAGAGAATTACGTCTTCTTCTAATTCTATGCCTGAAGGAAGGACATAATTCAGTTTTAAAAAAGTTCTCTAATTCCCGAATAATTGAACCCGCTCTGCCGTCACACTTTCATTTAGGGTTTATAAACTACAAGCCATGTATTTTCCGCGTACGGAAAACCACACATTTCTCTACGGTACTAAAGGGGGACCATATAGGGATCATAAAGTTACGCAGTGCATTGGATCCATATTGTGAACTTTACAAGCCACATTGGTAAATACAGAGACATGACGTTTTGTGAACGGCCATTTCAAGGTATTAAAAAGTCTCACAATTAGAAACTTTTTTTTAAAAATCAAATTATGTCCCTCCTTTGAGTATAAAATTTGAATTATCATAGAATTATGGTGCAAGCTGACTTGTTTTACAACCCTTCTTAATTGATCTTTTCGAGATGAAAGCGCATTTCGTAATTTCGGTTGACATTTCATGAGTTTTCCCACCTACTGCAGAAACTGAGAACCGGTTGAAATGGATGGCACCCTATTTGTCGCCCAAAATATGATTATCGGTGTAGATATTTTCGAAAATTTGTCTTACTTTGTCGGCTACCATTTGTGTCATTAAAATTCTGAAACGGTGGTTCGCCTACAGGCACACGTTTTAGTAAATCCGACAAATCTTCTTCAAGACCCCAATCTTGAATGCATGCACTGAGGATTTGGGTGTTACTGAGCGGTAGTTGCGTGAGAGCACTCGACAAATTAGAAGCCGAGAACTGTTTGGAATGGAAGACATACGGTATATTATGGGAATTTTCGCGTCTTTTTGACAAAGAACGCACACGAACGGCACTTTTCTTGTATTCTATTTCTACCACAGAACGCATTACTAGAAAATATATCGAAAATTCGCACGGTGCGCACAGAAAATGCTAAACTGTGAGCCAAACGCAAAGAAGTTATTACGAAACAAAGAACGTTTTATGAGTAAAAAGGCAAATAATGGGTTTCATTGTCTAAGCACGCGGACGTAACTTTCTCTCGCGTAAGGTTCGTGTGCATTTAAGTTTTAGTCGTCCCGCCGACCTGATTTCAAGCAAATCTGTGGTGACGGTATCCTCATGCACTGAACATAGCTCCCCCAAACCATGGGCATTCTGGCTTTCATTCGAAGGCTAACAACGTCAACTGAAATAAATCTACTGACTTGATCCATAATTTCTTGCGATTTCCAATTATTTAAAATTTTATTGTGTTAAAAACTGCTTGATGTACGCAGTTTACATGTTATTTTTGTTTCTCTGGTCAAGCGCTTGTAGAATTTTTCGGTAATTTTTAATTTTGCTTCACTTTTTTATACAGTCCGAAGAAAATGAAGTGCCAGGTCGACAAAAATGAACATTTCCGATGTCTTTTATTTTAACCCATTGGAGGAGTCAACGCGTTGTAGGCCGTCAGAAAAATTTGTGCTGTTTACAGGAACGGTTCAATTCTTAGAAGTACAAATCAGAGATAGGCTGCCCGTTTAAAAGAAGGCGGTTGTGGTATGTCAGACGCTCCGCGCGCCGTGTGAAGGCCAGTCTACAATGGGTATAGTCTAAAAGCTTTAATTGATACAGATTACTGTCAGACAGTAGAGAGGAATGGCCAGAAAGATGGAATACGGCAAAGCGACACTAGTTCGACACCTGCAATCGATGGAAATGGTCCAAAATCTTGGTTCTTTGGTTCCGTACGCTTTCAGCGAGGACAACAAAACTCATCATTCAAATGTTTGTACTTCATTATTGACCCATCATCGCCTCACCCGTTAAAAAGTTTAACCATATCTGAAGGTTTTTAGTACTGGCGACGAAAGGTGGTGCCTATACCGGAATATGAATCAAAGAAGAGGATGTTTAACCCTACAAGTAAGCAACCTCTCAAACCACACGTGATATTCATACTCCCAAGGATATCTTGTATGACTGGTGGAATATGGGGGAAGTTATCGATTACAAATTGCTTAAAAAGGAATCAACTCTTAATGCAGAGATTTACAGCCAACAGTTTCGCTGTTCAGATAAAACAATTTAACAAAAAACGTCGTATAATTGGTGTCACTTTGCAGCATGACAAAGGGTCTCCGTCGCATAATTAACCAGAAATGTAATCGGTAGGCTTAGTTGGGAGGTCATTTTCCACCCGCCAGACCTTGCTCCATCGGATTACCATCTTTTTCAGTCATTCCAAAACAATTTGATCGGAGTATCCTTCAGTAACAACGCAGATCTCTAAAACCGGATCGACGACTTCTTTGAGTTGAAGCTCACAGATTTCTCAAAGCGCTGGATTTAGAAACTGCCTAAACGTTGAGAGGAGGTTGTAGGAAACGGAGAGGGACATACAACTGATTAATTCTGCGAATGATATAAAAAATATGAATATGAATATTTAAAAAGCTCATAAACTTATCAAGCTACACAATAGTTTCTGACTTCGCGTATTGTAGTGCCCCTGGTGCTCGTGTAACGCTCTTATTTTTGTTAATCCAGTTAGCCTAAACCACAAACACAAAATTCAATTTCGGACATGTTACACAAAATACAGCTGGGCATACGGCTATTCACATTTCTTTTGTGTAGGTCGAATGATTCATGACACATGTGATTGCAGATGTCCTACAAAAGGAAAGAACTAGACAGCCACCACATATCGTTCCAGAAACCGTGCATTTATGACTGCCCACTACTTAGACGGGAATAAGTGCCACTCGATATTGCATGTGGCTCCGTGCTAAATTCCAGGATTCGTGTCACTTCCCATGTCCAAACTTTAACCATGATCCTCTTAACCTCAACACAAATCCTCCCCCTCCTCCAATCGCGTGTTTGCAGTGTAGGTGGTGTCTTTGTGCGAAGCGGTTGTTAATTGGGGATGTGTGCTGTAGTCCGGCGTTTTTCTATCGCAAGTCTTCATGGATAGGCATCCAACCTAATGAGCCCTTGCGGTGAGCGAATGTACGGGGAGAGTGATGGCAGTTTAAGGAGGCGCTGTGAGTGTAGATTGGTGCCCCCAGGCTCTGGTTCACTAGCCTCCGTGCGATGGATTTTCAAATGGCCCACAAGACCGGTCTGTGGGGCGAATATGCGATCGCGATGGGGACAAGTATAAATCGAGTCCACTTCGCTGGAGGTGGGAGGGTTGGTGACGATGGTAGAAGGTGATGGGACATCGTCGACGCCCCATCGGTGAGGGGGAGTGCGTCAAGTCGTGGTGGAGGTGGTGATGTTGGCCGACGCGGTCGATGCAGTGGTTGGGGCAGGGAGGATGGTGGTGGTTGGGCACTTACGGGGTGGTATTCGTTTGGCTGGACCTCGCCCAGAACAGACCGGCTTGGCGAAAAGAGTGGAGACTATGCTGCCATCTACAAAGCAAATCGGATTGCCACCACCGAAGCCAAACGGGGGCTCTTAAATCACAAGCGCCTCCCCCATTCGCCGCTTCCAACATTCTCGTGCTGCCAATGCGCTTCTCGCGCACAAATCGGTCTTGTTGGACACCTTCGGATCCAGTGTGCCATCAACCCGACAACGTTTACATCTTCACCCACTCTCGCGTAACACCCGAACACAGGTTACACTGCATACAGCCTGCCTCTGGCTTCTTGAATTCCTTTTACAAAGGAAAATAAATCATAGCAGATGTGTTTAAAAATGTCCTACAAACGGCAATAATTAGACAGTCATCAGATACCGTTCCAGAATCCGTGCATTAATGCCTATTCATTATTGCCATGGGAGTAAGTACCTTCCCGTATTACTGGTTGGTCTGTGCTGCATTCCACGATGAGACTCCTAACTCTAACTCTGACCTCCCCTCTAGCCCCCAACTTTGACAATAATCCCAACCTCAGTCTCAAATCCCCTTGGGTTGATGGCTATTGCAAAAGAATCAGAATCATAATTGAGTGACGGTTGGCAGTCTGCAGCAAACTTTAACTCCGGCTCTAGTAGTAGACACATTTCATTTCAATTAAGGCAAGGTCCCTCAGACAATCAGGCAACAATTTTCCTGTAAGCCCTGCGAAACTTTGTACTTGAACAACAAAGTTCTGCAGGTCAGTTAAGATGCAAAGCGTCAGAAGACAGTAGAGAATTAAAAACATGCCACCCGCAGTTTGGAGTATTTGTGCGTGAAAACGTACCAAGTTTCTAGCTAATTGTTAAAACCTTTTAGAAAAGAATACAGTAACAAAAGTAGGAACGAAGTCTGAACCACTTGAAGTAAAAATTCACCAGCTAGAAGGTATGGGTTCGTTTTCCACTTTCAACGGCACTGGGCGGCTGCCCGTTGCCCTCGAGAGAGAGAGCCCGTAAGACACAACGGGGCGAGTGAGTTCTGTGAAAACGATCAGTAAGCACCCCTCTGCCAGACAGTACTTAGCACGTGTATGCCATCCCGTCATGTCCAGTATGAGGAGACCTCGTAGTGAGCACGTAATATTACCATAAACTATGCTGGAAGTGCGCTCAAAGATCGGGTGACTGAACATGCTCGACCCAATCAAGAGCCCTACAGGTGGCCGCAAAACGGGTAAGAGTACAGTAGGTGGGCTAACTCATAAAGCATCAACCGAAATTTCGAAATGCTTTCCCGTTTCAAAAAGACTAATTAAATAGGGTTGTAAAACTAATTATCATACAACATAATTATATAATGATCCAGTTACCTCAGGGTGCCGGCTTTCGAATAAACTTCTTTCCGACTGCGTGCAAGAATTATACTCTGCAATAATTGATTCTGAATAAGCATGCAATTTTCTCATTGATCTTCGATGCCCTTAAAGTTCAATTATATTTCATGGAAAACAAGCGTACAAATATGCATTCTTTTGCTCATTCGGTAGAAAATGACGTCTACTGCTAATTTTATACTCAGAGGAAGGCTATAATGTTGTTTCGAAAAGTTTCTAATTGTGCTATTTTTTAATACCGTGAAATGGCCATTTATAAAACGTCATGTCGCTGCATTTACCAATGTGGCATGTAAAGTTAACATTTTGGCTCAAATCCATTGCTTAATTTTACTGAACCCCATCTAATCTTCTCTTAATACCGTAGAGGAATGCATGGTTTTCCATACGCAAAAATTTACGGGTTGTAGTTTGGAAGCCCTGAATGCATGTGTAACGGCAGGTACGCCTCAAAATTATTCGGGAATTGGAAAAGTGTTTGAAAACCGAATAGTACTCTTCCTTTGAAAATAAAATTGGAAGAAGACATCATTTTATACCCAATGAACAAGAGAACGAATATTTTCATGCCTGTTTTCCATGAAATATAATTAAATTTCTAAGCGCATCGAAAATCAATGAGAAAAATGCATGCTACGTAAGTAGTCAAATTTTGCAGAATGTGGTTCCTGCATACAATCGGAAGGAAGTTCATTCGAAAACCTACACCCTAAGGTAACTGGATCATTATAGAAATATGCTGCAAAATAATTAGTTTTTGGGCGGCTTAAGGCCCCATGTCAGAACTTGCACATCCCATGTAAGGGGAAAGCATGTTTGCTGATTTATTTTAGTAGACGAAGTAATCAAATCTCGTGTATCACGCGTAGGCCGGTCGTCTAATGCTACGGTTCCAAATCTCACAGTCAGCCGGCTGACAGCCACATAAATCTACTCGTGGTGAAAAAGAGTGAAGGAGAGATTACGGTCGGCACCGGGGTGATCATTTCCCATGGCAAATTATCGTATTTCTCAATAAAACAGATTGGACACACTCGCATCCATAACGACGCGTTAAGAGTTGTGCCTTGAAAGGATTGCAACTGACTGGCTAAATTAGTCTTCGTAATCGGTGCTGTGTATTCTAGAGGGGCGCTCACCGATCGTTTTTACGGAACTAACTCGTCCCATTTTGCTTTGGGACTCTGTCTTTCGAACCCGGCCGGCAGCCGCACAGCGGCGCGTGCTACAAGCAGAATAATTTTATCTACAAAGACAAGGGAGGCTGGGATGGCCAGTTTCTCATAAACCTCAAGTGAATGAAACTGGTCTGGTGATGCCAGTGCAGCTTTTTCCGCCAATTTATCGCTTGCGCTACAACCAGTTTCCTCCAGACAGTCTTTAGAACGCATTGCGTCGGCGAGCCAATACTGTGACGGTCCCGTCAGGCTTGATATCTTCTCCATAAACAACCCAAATGCCATGAGTAGTTTTGGTAGCTTGGAAAATGCTGGTTCCCCTCCATTTGAAACTTTAAAAATAGAAATATTTGGAAATACGGTGACAGCAGCCCTGTAGAGTGGAAGCCAGGCCTTCGAACGATACGTAGCACTTGCAACAACAAAAAATTGGGGGAGGGAGTTTTTTAACCGGAAATCACAGCACACACAACTTTGGTCTATTTCCTTAATTTTATTATTTTGCTCTGGTCTCTATAATTTGCCCTCGGACGAGTTGCCTTTTTTGATCTCAAGGCTCGACTAGTTATCTGTCGCGAGTCCTCAAAGAGCCCATTTGTGCCTTGCTGGATAAAGCAGAAGTTGAAGACAGTACTTAGCACTGTCCTTGCAGATATAATATCTAGGAGTTTTTGCCCATCACAGTTCGGCCATCGGGCACGATGATGTCCACCCGGCGCGCTGACAACGACTTACGCGTGAATTACACTATGCTGTTCGTCGACTTGCGCAGCATCTACCGCTCCCTCTTCTCCTCCACCCACCTGAGCCCAATGTCGTGGCGGAATCAAGAAGACCGGAGGGGGGGGACAGAATGCTGGTGACTGGCGCGGCAAGAACCCGCACCTAGGCGTGCCACACACACTCTTGTCTACAACGTACACTGAGCAGAATTTTATGCAACAAGAAAAAGGGGAGCAGCTCGGAAGCGATTTGATTGGCAGTGCCATAAGCGTGCTTCCGAAGGAGCCATTGTAACCTGATTCCCCGCCTTCAGCGGAGAACCGAGTCATGTCCTCATGGCAGACCTAAAAGCCACGACGGTTAGGGCATAGCAGTAGTTTTAAGGCGTCTCCGATTGTTCATGGTGGGGCGTATGTACTGAGGTAGCAACCATGCCTAGGAGTCTTAGGGTCCTACGGGAGGTAGCAAAGTGAAGGCGAATTCGTTACGAAAAAGGAGAGAAACAAAGCCGTTTTCTTCTAATCTCATGTTTTTACGAAGTATCCTCCGGAGAGACTCACAGGAGTCGGGCATGTGAATCGGCACCCCTTCGTACTACGGGCGATCTTGCGCTAGATTTTAAGAGTACGTATTCCCATCCCCCAACACCATGTAACCCTAGAATTACCCCAAGGCTACCGGCGTTAAACGGGGTCTATATCCTCATGTCCAGGTCCAGCTGATCGTAGGACCAGACAATCTACCGGTTAAACCGGTCCGGAGAAGGCAATAGTCCTGCATGAGTGTCGTTCACGGAACACAAAAACATTTTGCCCCGGGTTCTTTTCCAAAACCCCCATAGATGACTTTGGTTTGGGGGAATGGTTGGCTGTTGTCGCAGGAAACAAATATTAAGCTCTAACTAATAATTTTTAAAGAAGGAAAACATTGTCTGTGCGCCTAACAATTCAACAAATTTCCGCCCTTGTTAAAAACATCTTTCAGTAAATAAAACTCCTTTACGTCATTAAACACAGTGGTGTTTTTACGTTGAGGAAAATTGTTAAAATAACGCTGGCTGCTGACTTGGTTGCAGCTGAGAGCGCTACATTAAGACCAAAACCAGCAAAACCATTCTGCTATTGGGCTACGCCCATAGAGTTTTGATATTTATCTTGCTACTAGAAGCACTTGCTTCGTTCAAATGGTCGTTATTGGAGGAGTTATCAGTGGCTAATCTTGTTCGAGCGCTGTTCATTTTCATCTGAAAGATATAAAGCAGGCGTTTTCACTACTTCATTCAGTCCGGCGCAAACAGGACTTTCAGGTAACGTCTTCGCCTGTGTAGTATTATGTGCGTTTATAACTGGGATTTCCTGACTAAAATAATAACTGTCAAAGCCTGCAACAAACCTTGCCTAATAGGTTCGTCATCGAAGAACAAGACTCTAATAATCCTACCAGCAATTCATGGTTTATAGCACCCCAGAAGATAATTCGGCCAGAATGAAGGGATTCTTTCAGCCTACCAACAGGACTCCAGCAATCTCTGGCCATAATATCCTAATGATGCGTTTTTGAATTTGTTCCTCTCTGTTAGTCGGAGGTCGTCATAATAGAGTTTGACGAAACCTCCAGTTGTTTACTTGGCAGACAAATATTTCGCCTGTTGAGAAATCGTCTGTCCAATATAGACGGATGCCGGATCATTACACTGGCTAGCCGGCAGTTACGATTGGCGAACGATGGATTAGTTGCATTGATTTTGGTGTTTTTAGATATTCAAATACGGTAGGTGGGCTAATTCATGAAATGTCAACTGAAATTCCGAAATGCGTTTTCGCTCCCAAAAGATTAAGTAGGCTTGTAAAACTGGTCAGCCTGCAACAAAATTCAATAAAATTCGATAACCTGCTGCCTATGGACTACCTGGAAAATGAAGTTGCAGTAGATGGGCTAACTCATGAAATGTCAATCGAATTTCCAAAATGCGTTTTAGCTCCGAAAAGATTAATTAAGTAGGGTTGCAAAAATAATTGGCCTGCAGTACAATTCTATAATAATTCCGTTACCTCATGATGCCGGTTTTCGAATGAACTTCCCTCCGGCTGCATACAAAAACTATACCTTGTAAAAATGACTAATTATGTGGAATTCATTTTTCTCTTTTTCTCAATTCACGTATTTCTTTAGGAAAAGGCAAGCCCGCTTAAATAAAGAGTTCGGCACGAATGGTAACCAGTTAATAAAAAATAGAAATATTGTTAGATGGAATGCATACAGTAGGTGGGCTAACTCATGAAATGTCAGCCGATATGACCACTTATGTTGAACGAATTTTTCTCATTAATTTTCGATGCTCCTAAGTTTACAATTATATTTCATGGGAAACATGCATAAAAATATTCATTCTTTCACTCTTTCGGTAGAAAATTACCTTGTCTTCCAATTTTATACTCGAAGGAAGGGTATAATTTGGTTTTATAAAACTTTTCCAATTCCCGAATAATTTTGAACCCGCTCTGCCGTCACATGCATTTTCCGCGTACGGAAAACCACGCATTTCTCTACGGTAATAAAGAGGGAACATATAGGGATCATAAAATTTCGCAGTGGATTGGATCCATATTGTTAACTTTACAAGCCACATTGGTAAATGCAGAGACATGACGATTTATGAACGGCCATTTACGGTATTTAAAAGCCTCACAATAAGAAACCTTTTTGTAACCGAATTATGTCCCTCCTTCGAGTATAAAATTAGAAGAAGGCGCAGTTTTATACCGAATGCTTTAATGAAATCCTAGAAATAGTTTTAGAATTATGCGGCAAATGTGCCATCTCATGAAATGTTAACTAAACATCGAAAAATTGTCTTTGATTCGAAAATAGGGTTACAAGTGTCAGGAGGCCAGTATTTTAACGGACTTCTTCCTGACCGCCCGCAAAAACTGTGTAAGTGGCATGCGATTTTAGATTGATTTTTGGTGTTTTCAGATATTCAAATATATTTTCTAGACAAAATGCCCAAAAAATTTATTGAATTCATTTGGTGGAATTTGACGTCTTCTCCTTCCTATTATTCTTCCTATTCTTTGAACTTTTTATCTGAAGAAAGAGTAATTTTCAGTTTTTAAATGTTATCAACTATGTGATTTTTAGGATCGCAAAGTGCCCAGTCATAGAGCACCGCGTCAGCATGTCAATCAATGATGTTTATAAACTGGACAACATTATTCATATTCATCGCAAATTTTGTAAACCCTACATGACGTCTTTTTAATAGTGCATTAAAAGATATGATTCATACTGACCCAACTGAGTAAAACTCGGCACATTGGTGGGATTCGAACCCACGCAGTAAAGGGAAAACTTAAGTAATGCCAACGCTCTAACCACTTGAGCTACGAGGTCCCGCCGGGCGACGCGGGCTTAATCACATTTTGGTCAATTTGCTTGCCAAACCTGATGCAACGTCTGGAATCCACCAAATCTGACACAGTAAGTTGACTGATCAAGCAGGATTTCCCAAGTCATTCTTCTAGAATCCACCAGATGACTACTGGGCTTCTGTAATTCCTAGATGCTTTGGCAGATTTTGAACAATTCATATTGACCCAACTGTGAAGTCTGCCGAAACATTATGAAATATTTGATTCCCCTTGCATGGAAAGGTTGCAGCCTGTAGTTTGGAGACAGCTCGTGTTAAGGATTACTCGGGATTAAAAACGTTTTATTTCAAACAGACGAAACTGTACCATCAAATGCATGATTCGGAGTGGACCTTATTTTCTAAGAAATGACAAAAAAGAATTTTTATGCACTTTTTCTATAAAATAAACATGAATTTATAAGGGCATCGAAAATTTGTGGAAAAGTTCATAGTACTTAAGCAGTCACGTTTTAGGAAGTGTGCGGGCGGCCGATATGAAGCGCGTTCGAAAACCTCTATCCTGATTTGAACGAAATATTTTGGGATTATACTACACAGAAATCATCATGACAACGCTACTTAAGTCGTCGTTTTTAAATAAAAACGCATCTCGGAAATTCGGATGCCATTTCATGAGATAGCGTAGCATACATTTACGTCTTTTGTTGTTCTATCGTAAGAAGCGACACGTCTGGCATCCTTTGTTTCGATTTACTCCTGTGAAGTAGGATATATTGATCGTACGAGTCGGTGTCTATCCACAGAAATGCGAGAGCACCTACCGGCAGGGCTGAGGAAATGTAAAATTACAGTAGATGAGCTTACTCGTAAAATTTCAACCAAATTTCTGAAATGCGATTTCGTTTCGAAAGGATTAATTAAGTAGGGCCGTAAAACTTCTCGACGTGCAACATAATTCTATAATATTTCAGTTGCCGCAGGATGCCGGGTTTCGAATGAACTTCCTTCCGACTGCACGCAAAGACTACACTCCGTAAAAAATGACTACTCAAGTAGCATGAATTTTTCCATTTATTCCCCAATGGCTTTAAAATTCCAAGAATATTTCATAGAAAACATGCATAAAATATTCATTCTTTCGCTCCTCCGGTAGAAAATTACGTCTTCTTTCAATTTTATGCGCGAAGGAAGGGCATAATTCGGTTTTAAAAAGTTTCTTATTGTGAGATATTTTAGAACCGTGAAGTGGCCGTTCATAAAACGTCATGTCTCTGCATTTACAAATGCGGATTGTAAGGTTAACAATATGGATCAAATCCAGTGCTAACTTTTATGAACTCCATATGGTCTCCTCTTAATTCACTAGAGAAATATATGATTTTCCGTGCGCGGAAAATACATGACTTGTAGTTTGGAAACCCTTAGTGCAAGTGTGACGGCAAAGCGGGTTCAAAATTATTCAGGAATCGGAAAAGTTTTTGAAAACCGAATAATACCCTTCCTTCGAGTACAAAATTGGAAGAAGACGTAATTTTCTACCGGAGGAGTGAAAGAATGAATATTTTATGCATGTTTTCTACGAAATATTCTTGGACTTTTAGAGCCATTGGGAACTAATTGGAAAAAATTCATGCTACTTGAGTAGTCATCTTTTACAGATTGTAGCTTTTGCATACAGCCGGAAGGAAGTTCATTCGAAAGCCGACATCTTCAGGTAACTGAAATATTATAGAATTATGTTTCAGGCTAACTAGTTTTACAATCCTGCTTAAGTAATCTTGTCAAAACGAAAACGCATTTCAAAATTTCGGTTGAAGTTTCATGAGTTATCCCACCTACTGTACAACCCTGACAACCCTAGATCAGCAAATAGCCCAACTCCTGACACCCACCCTAATCCCAGCCCTAACCCCATACTTGAGTCCGATAAGGGCAAATTTAACGTCAGTAGTGGTTGCGAAGTTCAAAATCCGCGCATTGCACTCGAGACCTGTTGTCAGGCAAATCGTTTTTAACCGCACCTAGCCAAATAGGATAGGATGACCCAGGCGGGGTTTACTTAGTTTTATAAATGAACCAACACATAAAGGCTACTAATTTTGTGAAAATGCTACGCGATCACCGGAACAATAACTTCACTGTTTATGAAAAAATAACCCATTTTGAGCCAGACAGGCAGCAGAACACTACCATCTGCATGCTATACGAAAAAATAATAGAAATTTACATAGATTGTAGTTGTTTAGGAATTGTCAGAGTCTCTGTTCTGAACTAGAAGGGACCTAGATCTGTGCTGTTGTCATCTCAACTGTATTGGATAAACGAACCCAGCAGGGGCGGATTAAAGTGGTTTTTATTGCAGACTTCCGAAAATGGAATATTTATACAGGCAAAATAAATGTGTCCTCAGACGGGATCTCGATGTTTCCAGCCGGTTTCTGTCGCCTGTGCTATGTAGGACATGTCCGCGAGTTGTGTTACCATTCGCTACCGTTTTACTAGGACTTGCTTGCTTACAGTGATAGCAGACTTGCACAGCGTCTGCTGCACTCCCCCCCCACATGGGTCCCGTGTCAGGACAAAGTCAAGAAGACTGTGGACGGGAGAGGGCACGCGTGGATGGCACGGTCGAGCCCGTACCTTGGCTTACCACTCCACACCCCCTGGTCCACACAGCCAGGTTTTTGACCAATAACAACAATGGGGGGCGGCAGGGGTCCTAGTATGCGCAACGTCTGCGAACAAACGGGTCTGCCACCGCACCCCGAAATTTTGACGTTTGTTACGGTGCGCAAGTGCGATAACAGCTGCTAGAATCCGATATGGCCCCGTGTTGGTCCAGCGCATCTACCACGTGGCCCGTTTTGGGGGTAAAACTAGTTCGACAGTACACCACTAGTAAACTTATGCGATATACACTTGATAACCAATTTCCACTAAATTCACCGGGACAGGACTTGAGACGGTCGCAGTCGCCCCAAAAGAACGAACAGTTGTTGGAACAATTCGGTCTGCATTACAGGAACAGGAAAAGAGAACGTGCGGACGGCTCACGCGTGGATGATGATGATGATCCTGACGACAATAATAATAATGATGGGGAGGAGGAGGAGGAGGAGGAGGAGGAGGAGGAGGAGGAGGAGGCAGCGACGTCGGTGGCGGACTTTGTGCGAAAATTTCTCTAGGCGTACGCACTACGCATAGCGCGTTTCAAGCTGCAGTGCAGCAGTTAGGGATGTGTTGACGGGGCTCTTGATCAATGACGCGTTTTCGCAGATCCCAGTTTCAGCAAATCCTATCAGGTTTTGCCATGAAGACGTAAGTGGTCAGTGTTTTAAGAGACGTTACCATATATTTAGTGCTCTAGACCAACATGGGAGTTAGATCTGAGTACAGCAGGCGTTATTAGAACTTCGCAACCATAACAAATATCAACATTGGCGGTGTCGTGTCAGACCCATTTTAGCGTTTTGTGATGGATGCGAGACGAGCAATACTTTTTATAGTGAGGAATGCGCTTCGATTGCCATGAGGACGGAATTTCAAGTGTCGGACCTCTTTCAGTCACAATTTCACTTTCTAAGCCAGTCAGTCACCTGATAGGGAATTGGACGTAAGTGCCGGGCGTGGTGTGAGCCTCCGCCTCCGGATTCTGCACAGCCTGGTTGACTTGTACCGCCTTTGTGATCCATCGTTTTACGCAACCACACACCCACAATAATAAAGGTTTAGTTGCTGATACCCGCGAATTTAACGTTTATCTTTTCCATGGAGGGAGAAATACAGTAAGTGGGCTAACTCATGAAATGTCAACACAAATTTCAAAATGCGTTTCCGTTTCAAAAAGGTTAATTAACTAGGGTTGTAAGACTAATCGATTTGCAGCATAATTCTCTAATATTTCAGTTACCTCAGGACGTCGGCTTTCGAACGAACTTCTTTTCGGCTGCATCCAACAACTTATGTAGCATGTCTTTTTTCATTTATTTTCGATTCTCTTAAAGATCCAATTTTATTTCATGGAAACACGCATAAAATATTCATTCTTAACTTATTTAATAAAAAATTACGTCTTCTTTTAATTTTACACTCGAAGGAAGGGTATAATTCGGTTTTATAAAACTTTTCTAATTTCCGAATAATTTTGAACCCACCCTTCCGTTGCACTTGCATTCAGGGTTCCCAAACTACAAATCGTATGGTTTCCACGTACAGTAAACCATACATTTCTCTACGGTAATAAAGGGAACCATGCACGTTTCAGAAAATTGAGCAGTCGAGTTGAGCCATATTGTTAGCTTTACAGGCCACAATGGTAAATTCAGAGACACGACGTTTTATGAAGGGCCATTTCACAGTATTAAAAAGCTCACAATTAAAAACTTATTGAAAACCGAATTTTCTCCCTCCTTCAAGTATATAATTAGGAGAAGACGTAATTTTCTACCGAATGAGCGATAGAATGAATACTTTTATGCACGTTTTTCATGATATATAATTGCGCTTTTAGGGGCACCGAAAATCAATGAGAAAAATTCATGCTACTTAAAGAGTCATTTTTTGCAAAGTATGGTTCTTTCACGCAGTCGAAAAGAAGTTCATTCAAAAGCCGACATCCTGGATTATTATAAAATTATGTTGCAGGGTGACGAGTTTTACAACTCTAGTTAATTAATCTTTTCGAAACGCAAACGCATTTCGGAATTTCTGTTGGCATTTCATGCGGTAGCCCATTTACTTTAAATCACATGGGAAGTGCCCAGATGGACACTACTCCCATGGCGAGTACTGGTGGATGAAATTATCCGGTGATTGTAACGTCAGTCGTTAGCACCGGTGATGAAATCGCAACAGTTAGGAACTCGGCGTGTTATGATGCCAATGATTAAGGGACCGATAAAATTGGTAGCTGTATTCCTGCTAGGTCTTTGACTACGTCGTTATGTGGCCTTGGTGGAACTTGTTGTGTGAACTCCTGGAGTTTTTTGTGTGGGGGTTGGGGTGTGGTTGCACACTTAGTTGCGACCTAACCGCCCTAGCCACCTGCGTCTATTCACGTTTCCGGTTTCCTTGTCTCTGTCACGATATCGAGCCCAGCTGGGAAAGGAGGATGCGGAGGAGGAGGAGGAGGAGGAGGAGGAGGAGGAGGAGGAGGAGGAGGGAGTGTGGGATATGTGGAGAAAATCTAATACTACTTTAAATTAATTCACGCGTAATTCGCCATTCCAACAGACATCATCATAATCGACTGTCGAAATGTTGTGCGCATGTCACATCTGTCCATCGCCATTCCCTCCAATGAGGACTTAGAAACCTCTTGCGAATAAAGCTCTTGTTCAGCGAACAAGTCTTTTTCTTCATGAATTAATTCCTCGATTTCACTTTGTAACACCTATCGACGGTAGTTAGACTTGTTGACTCTTCAGGTCTAAAATTCCACGCTTGTCTAGCCGGATTCCAGTCGTTAAACTGACTGAAGCAGAAGAGCTACTGAAAGCCAAATCGCACATAAATGTCTCTACAGAGGGTGACGAATGAGATAACCTTATCGGCCCACTGAATGCATTGCTGATATTCAGTAGATAATGGCAACATTGCTTTTTTCAAATACTCTGTTAAGATACGTCATGAATTTAAATTTGCCTTGTAGCCTAGTTTTCGAATGAGGGACGGTTAGGTCTGAAATGTTCATACCTTAATAGTCATTGCATCCTCTTAACAACGACTAACCATTCCGGTAGCTGACGAAGAGCAGGCCGAGAAGCACGCTGACTTGATAGCGACCGTCA